AGGGAATTTTTTTCCCTCTAGGCTAAGAACGCGGGCTTTTCTGGAGTCTGTATACTTTCAGTTCAATGAATTTACCTTCAATAGACATATTGTAGGAAATACAGCAGAAACTTTGATTTTTTATTGACATAGTTTACAATATTGTGTCAATTTCTGGTATATAGCATAATAATTCAGTCATACATATATTCCTTTTCATTATAGGTTACTACAAGATACTGAATATACAATATTCTGTACTATATAGAGGAAACTTGCTGTTTATCTAATTTATCTATTTTATGTATAGTAGTTAGCTGCAAATATTGAACTCCCAATTTATCCCTTCCCACCCTTTTCCCCCAGGTAACCATAAGCTTGTTTTCTATGTCTGTGAGTCTGTTTTATAAATAAGTTCATTTGTGTTTTTTTGTTTTTTTAGATTTCACAATTTTCAAAAGATATGTGGTATTTTTATTTCTCTTTCTGGCTTACTTTACTTAGTATGATGATCTCCAGGTCCATCCATGTTGTGCAAATGGCATTATTTTATTATTTTTATGGCTGAGTACTATTCCATCGTATACATATACCACAACTTCTTTATCTAGTCATCTGTCAGTGGACATTTAGGTTGCTTCCATGTCTTGGCTATTGTAAATAGTGCTGCTGTAAACACTGGGGTGCATATATATTTTCAAATTAAGAGTTCCTTCTGGATATCCACCCAGGAGTGGGATTGTTGGATCATATGTAAAGTTTGTTTAATCTTCTGAGGAATCTCCATACTGTTTTCCACAGACTGCACCAAACTACATTCCTACCAGCAGTGTAGGAGGGTACCCTTTTCTCAGCCTCTCCAGCATTTGTCATTTGTGGCCTTTTTAATGATGGCCATTCTGACTGGTGTGAGGTGATACCTCATTGTACTTTGATTTGCATTTCTCTGATAACTAGTGATACTGAGCATTTTTTCATATGCCTATTGGCCATTTGTATGTCTTCATTGGAGAATTGCTTGTTTAGGTCTTCTGTCCATTTTTGGACTGGGTTTTTTTGTTGTTATTAAGTTGTATGAGCTGTTTATATATTCTGGAAATTAAACCTCTGTCAGTCACATCATTTATTCCGTAGGCTGTCGTTTTGTTTTGCTTATGGTTTCCTTTGCTGTGCAAAAGCTTATAAGTTTAATTAGGTCCTGTTTGTTTATTTTGA